ACTCGTCAGTTGGGAGGCAGTTAGGTAAATCTTGAATGTCTTTCGTGAAGTGAAATTAGCCAGATATAAGAGGAAAAACATACTTCATTTATGTGAGCTATCTAGCATAGACAAGTTGACAGAGACAGGAGAAGGAATCAGGTTACTAGGAGATGGAATGGAGAGAAAAGGTAATAGATATGGAGTTCCTGTTTACAAACATCCGAAGTGATAGTGGTGAGAATTCTACACTATAGTGAATACACTTAATGAACACTTTTTCTTGGTGCCAGTCCTAGGGTTTGAACTCAGGGCCTAGGTGCTGTTCCTGAGTTCCTCTTGCTCAAGGTTAGCACTCTACCACCTGAACAAGAGCTCCACTTCTGGCTTTTTTGGGTAGGTAAGAGTCTCATGGACCTTCAGCTTTAAACTATGGTTCTCATGGGCTGGGATGTGACTTAGTGGTAGAGTGCCTGCCTAGCATACATGAAGCCCTGGGGTTGATTCCTCAGTACCACATACACAGAAAAAGCTGGAAGTGGTGCTGTGGCTCAAGTGGTAGAGTGCTAGCCAGCTCAGACAGCGCCCAAGCCCTGAGTTCAAGCCCCACAATTGACAACAAACAACAACACAGCACAGGAGGCTGAGATCTAAAGGATTGTTTTGAGGCCAGCTTTGGTAGAAAAGCCCACAGGACTCTTCCAAAATAACTAGCAAAAAAGCTGTCTAGAGGTGTGGTTCAAGTGGTAGAGTACCAGCCAAGCAAGCTAGAAGTCCTAAGTTCAAATACCAGCAAAACAGTAACTACCTCCACCGCCCCCCCCCCCCCCCCCACCAAGTGTGTGAGTGGGTAATGGTTTTGTAATCCGGCTACTTGAGAAGCTAAAACTGGAAGGCTAGCTAGGCAGATGTTTATAAGTTACTCAGGAGGCCAAGATCTGAGGATTACACTTTGAAGCCAGCCAGCCTGGACAGGAAAGTCCATGAGACCCTTATCTCTGATTAACTACCAGAAAACCAGAAGTAGAGCTGTGGCTCAAAGTTGTAGAGCTATAGCCATGAGCAAAAAAACTCAGGGTCAGGGCCCAGGCCCTGAGTTCAAGCCCCCCCCCTCCCCCCCCACACACACAAGAAAGAAAAAGCTAGAAATTCCAGGCTAGCCTGTATAGAAAAATCTTTTTTTTCTTTTGGGTCCGGTCGTGGGGCCTGAACTCTGGGCCTGGGCGCTATCCCTCAGCTCTTCAGCTCAAGGCTAGCGCTCTACCACTTGAGCCATAGCGCCACTTCCGGCTTTTTTCTTTTTGCTTATGTGGTGCTGAGGAATCGAACCCAGGGCCTGAGGCATGCATGGCAAGCGCTCTACCACTGAGCCACCTTCCCAGCCCCGTATAGAAAAATCTTAAGAAACTCCTTTTCCATGTAGGGAAGCTGGATGAAGTGGAACATTGAGTTCAAACAATAACAAACCCTAGTAATGTCTGAAAACTTAAATAAACAAACTCTTTAGTAATTTACAAGTCAAACTGTGTAACATATTAAAAAAATCAGAGTAACATGCAATTTAGAATACTTACACTTAAAGACTATAACTCAAGTGGTACTTGGATATTTATAGCACAAAATGCTTATGGAGTAATCTGGACAGCAGTGGTTCACACCTATATTCTTAGCTACTGAGGAGGCTGAGAACTGAGGTTTGTGGTTTGAAGCTAGTTGGGACAGACAATTTCTCCTGCCTCCTATCTCCAGTTAACCAGCAAAAAGACAGTAATGGAGGTGTGGCTCAAGTGGTAGAGCACCAACCTTGGGTGGAAAAAGGTAAGCTAGAGCAATGATTTCAAGCCCCAGAATCAGAAAAAAAGAAACAAAATAACAACAAAAGACCCTGAAAAGATGTGTGCACAGTGGTACATGACTGTAATTCTAGCACTCGAGGCTGAGGCAGCAGGATGGTGTGTTTGAGGGCAGCCTTGGCGACGTACAGATTCTGTGTCAGAAACAAAAACAGACAACAAATAACGCTAAAAAGCCAAACTAAAGAAAATGTCTTAGAAAAAAAATCAGATTCAAGATAAACTAGAATGGCTATGCCTTTAGATATTATATAACTTAGAAGCAATAGAAAACCTACTTTCGAAAAATATACTGAGATAAGATAACTTTATAGTCAACCTAGTACTCCTGAGTTCCTGCTATATGCGGATGGTCAGGAGACAGGAAAAGGTCTGAGCTAAAGAGCGAGTTGGGTGTGAATGTCTGGATGAAGGTTTTAGCTCTGACTCATCCACCCAGGAGAAAGGCTGGGCAGCTAGGGGTGGGGGACTGGACACAACCGAACCAGACAGGCCAGGACCTGACTCTGCGGGACCCTCCTCATGGCTGGAAGATAGCATCACAGGAATCACAGAATTGTCACAAGACAATGTAAGCCTCTGAGGAAAGTAGGCCAGAGGAAGCCACGGAGAGTGAGGGGGCCTGAAGTCAGGCCAATCACCTGATCAGAAGAGGCCAGACTTCGGAACAGCTCAAGAGGCAGAACTCCCATCTAGCAAGTTGGAGGCCCCAATTTGTGGGAGGCTGGAAGAGCCTGAGGTTATTCTCAATAAAACAACATCCATTATCCCTTGCTTTCTCCTCCATGAACCCAATTAGGAGGACATGTACATGTATAAAGTTTTTGGCCATTGGGCTGGGAATGTGGCTTAGTGGTAAAGGGCATGAGCACACATGAAGCCCTGGGTTCAATTCCTCAGTGCCACATACACAGAAAAAAACATAAGGGATACCTGTGGCTCAAGTGGTAGAGCACTAGCCTTGAGCAAAAGAAGCTCAGGGTCAGTGTCCAGGTCCTGAGTTCAAGCTCCCCCCTTCCCCCCAATATCTGGCAATTACTGTTGGTATTTGCCAGCAGTTGTGGAACCAGGGACTTGTTAGTGGGCCAGGCACTATATAGAACACAGGCTTGCTGTTACCATGGCAGTATGAAGGCCAGCTACAGCTGGACACCATTAATCTGTCAGTAGCTGGTTGGCAAGGATGAGATTTTTCTACCACAAGGGCTCAGCAAACAGCAATGGCCAAAGGCCTGGAAGGGATGGGTGGATGGGCTACTTGGAAGGTGGGCTGGCATCAGAGACTCATGGGGCCATGCGTTCCAGTCTGGAAAAGCTGGCCGGAGGCAGTAAGGTTCCAGGCTCTGGGTCTGTTCTGGTCAAGCACAGATTTCACGGTGGGCCAGGAAGAGTGAGGAGGCCTGGAGCTGGTTGTGGCTGGGGAGGGAAGAGACTTCCTTTGTTCCAGTCCTACCGCTCCTGGACTCTGGTGAACAAGGCCTACATGGGGGGAAGGGGTGGAAGTAAGGCAGGTGAAGTAGTGGAGGGAGGAATCAGGGAGGGGATGGCCAGGCAGTTGCTGAGGCCCCGGGAAGGGGGAGGGAAATGGGGCAGGAAGACCCCGTAGCCAAGGTCGGGAAGCAGAGTTTCCTCTCCCGGGCTAGGTCACAGGAAACCCAGCCCTGTGCTTCCCGTCGATAAGGGCGACCCCTTCCTGCTTCCTGCTCTTTCCCCACCTCCCATCCTGCCGGGTCCCCGGGGACCTGCGGCCTTGGGACGGCCTGGGTGGGGAGGAGCTGGCCCGCTTCCCCAGAGCCTCAGCGCCCGGCTTGAGGAGGCAAGGCCAGACCGACGGACAGCCCGGACGGCTTCGCCTGGTCAGTAGCCTAGGGAGCAGGCTGGCCCTGGGGGGCGGGCGGGGAGCGGTCCAGCCGGGCGCCGTGCTGGAGTTGGGGGGCGGCTCGGGGCCGGGCTGGGGTGGTCTCCGGCCTCCTCCAGGCTCGGGCCGCCTGGGGAGGCCGGGGCCCAGGGGCCCCCCCATCACTGGGGAGGGCTCCCGGCCCGCGGCTCCGTGAGGTGTGCGTGCCACCCAGGAAGCGGCTCGCTGCGGGACGGGGGTGTTCGGCGGGGGGAAGGCGGCTGGGGCGCGGGGCCCGGGCGCGGGGCCGGGCCCGTCCGCGGCTGGCACGCCGCTCGGGCGGCGCCGCACCCGCGCGCTCCCTCCCGCCCACTCGCCGCCCCTCCCGCGTTGCCACGACAACCAGGGAAACCAAATTCACCTCACCGCCGTCGCAGGTGGAGACTCGTGGCGCCCCCTCCCCTCAGCCCTTCCCGCAGGTCGCGCCCCCACCCTGCCGTCGCTAAGGTGACGGGGAGGGGGCGCCTGCAGCGGCGCGGGGCCGCCCCGGGTCCGGAGGGCCGCAGGGAGGGGGCCGACTCCACAAACTCGGCCGCAGTGGGGATCTCTGGGAACCCTCTGGGTGCGGTCGGAAGCGCTGACGGGGGGGGGCACCCCGTCCGGGGCCCATCGCCCCCGTCGGGGTCCATCCCCGGCACGCCCCCCGGGCCCCATCGCCCCCCCCCGGGGTCCAGCCCCCACTTCGGGGTCTATCGCCCCCCGGGGTCCATCCCCCCCACTCCGGGGTCCATCCCCCGGCGCCCCCCAGGCACCCATCGCCCCCCCCGGGGTCCATCCCCACGGCACCCTTTCTCGGGGTCCATCGCCTCTCCCTCCCCGGGCCGGTGCGCCGCTGACCCCGCTGCCTCTGCGGGGTCTGGAGCGGGGGTCGGTAGAGTGGGAGGCAGCGAGGGGGGAGGTTTCCAGCCCCAGACCTCAATTCCGCTTCTCTCCCTCTCCCCCGGCCGGGGGTCCTCCAGCCCCGACGCGGCCGCCGCCGGCTCCCAGGACCCGCCGCCGCCGGGCCCCACGGCGGGCGGTGGGGCCCTCGCCGCCCGCCACTCCCACCGCGAGCCCGGGGCGCCCCCGGCCCCGCCTCGAGCCCCCCCGGCTCCCGCCCCTCCCGCCGGACGCCCCCGCGGCCCGCACCGCGCGAGGACCCTGGCCGGCCGGCCCCCGGTCTCCGCCTCGGCGCGGCCCCCTCGCCGCCCCCGCGCCGCGCCGGGCGCGGGCCCCCTCCCCCCGCCGCCCCCGCCCCCGGGGAAGGCAGGCGCCGCGCGGAACCCGGGCCGATGCAGCTGAGCCGCGCCGCCGCCGCCGCCGCCGCCGCGCCCGCGGAGCCCTCGGAGCCGCTGTCCCCCGCGCCGGCCCCGGCCCCCCCCGGCCCCCTCCCGCGCAGCGCGGCCGCAGGGGCTCCGGCGGGGGGGCCGGGGCGCCGCGCGGAGTCCCCGGGTGCCCGGCAACCGGCCGCGAGCTGCCTGGGCCCCGGCGCCGGCACGGGGATGGACGGCCCCGGGGCCGGCGCCGCCGTGGTTGTGCGCGTCGGCATCCCGGACCTGCAGCAGACGGTGAGCCCCCCGAGCCCCCCGCGCGGCCCCCTCCCCCCCGCGCACCCCGCGCCCGACCCCCGACCGCGGCCGCCCGCCCCTCCCCCTCCGCTCCGCGGGACCCTCCCCGCAGCCGGGCGGGGCCGGGGAAGCCCGGCCCCAGGGCGGGGCCCGGGCCGCGCGCGGCTCCCGGCCGCCCCTCGCGGGCGGGCCCGGGCTCGACGCGCTCACGACCCGCTCCGCCGCCGCAGAAGTGCCTGCGACTGGACCCTACCGCGCCGGTGTGGGCCGCCAAGCAGCGCGTGCTCTGCGCCCTCAGCCACAGCCTCCAGGATGCGCTCAACTACGGGCTCTTCCAGCCGCCCTCGCGCGGCCGCGCCGGCAAGTTCCTGGACGAGGAGCGGCTGCTGCAGGACTACCCGCCCAACCTGGACACGCCCCTGCCCTACCTGGAGGTGCGGGACGGGGCGCGGTCCCCCAGCTTCGGGGGGCGGGGCCCGGCTCCCCCAACTCCGGGGGCGGAGCGTGCCGCGGGGTGGGGCGTGTCGGGGGCGGGGCGAAAGGCGGGGCGCGGCCCCGGGACTCCGGTCCCGGAGCCTCTATGAGGGCGGGGGGGGGGGGGCCGGGGGGGTAAGGGGGAGCCAGGGCAGCCCGCGCTGCGCGTAGCACCCGGGAGGCAGGCGTGTTCGGCGCCGGAGGTCGGCCCGAGCACGGTGCGGTGGGAGGGCGCAGTGCCGGAGGGAGGAGTGGGGTTTGAGCTGCGTCCCAGACGTGCACACGTGCCCTCGCTGGCCCTCGCCGGCCCTCGCCGGCCACCCTGGTGAACTTGCCCCCGACCTGCGCGCGTTCCTGGCGAGCGGTGCCTTGAGCGCCTTTCTCGGCCGAGCCCAGGGTTTGGAGGCTGTGTGACCGCCCCGACGGGCCCAGCTCCCCAAGGTGACCGGGCGCGCGGGGGCCCCAGCGGCTCTGCCTGGAAAGGCGCTGTCCGGGGAGCGCCGGGAGAGGCCGGCGCAGGCCGGCCACGTGTGCGCGTGTGTGGTGGGCAGGCGGCAGCTGCCGTCGGTTGTGTCGGACTGGTGTGACTGCCGTGCGCGCGTGTGAACAACATGGCGCTCGCCGCTCCCTCGCTCGGCCTACATGGATACTTTCTCTTCACCTTCTCTTTGAGCAGTTTCGATACAAAAGGAGAGTTTATGCCCAGAACCTCATTGATGACAAGCAGTTCGCAAAGCTGCACACTAAGGTAAAGAGGGAGTCACGGGAAGGCGCCCCCCACGGCCTCTGCCCCAGCCAGCCTGGCTGACCACAGCTGCTGCAGTACTGGCCCAGTACGCTCTCCTCTTCTGTCAGGCGCTTGCCTGTACTGGGAGAGTAGATGTAGATGCTGTACTTGTAGGGCCTGACAGAGAGGGTGGAGATAAGTGTGTGCATGTGTTGGGAGCCAGCTAAGAGAGAGACCTAGGCTAGCTTCGAACCACCATCCTCAGATTTCAACCTCCCGAGTAGGTAGGATATTCTTGTCCCTGGCTCATAGGCAGACTTCTTGATCTACCGCTCTCTGCCAGGCAGTTTTGTGGACAGTAGGCCTTTTCTTGGTGGATACGTCATTGAACATCCCTAGAGCCTAGGAGAGGGCTTCTGCGACTGGCGCCAGATCCTTAAGCTTTTTTGTTTTGTTTTGTTTTTTGTCAGTCGTGGGGCCAGAACTCTGGGCTTGGGCGCTGTCCCTGTGCTCAAGGCAAGCGCTCTATAATTTGAGCCACAGTCCCACTTCATCCTTAGCTTTTTTGCCAGATTTTTTTTTTCTGTTCTTACGCAGTGGCAGTCAATGGTCCTGGGTTGTAGCTGGACAGAAAGCATCTCAGAAAGATGTTTCTCTCCAATGGCCCTCATGTTGACCCTGTCACTCTGAGTCCCTCTGATATCTCTCCCCAGGGACCCACAGGACACTAGTAACTTGTTTTTCAGTGAGTCTTGTTTTATTCTTTCTTTTCTCTCTATTCCTCCTTTCCTTCCTTCTTTCCTTCCTTCCTTCCTCTTTTGTTTTGGATGGGCATGAGGCTTGAACTCAGGGCCTGGGCACCATCTCTGAGCTTTTTTGCTCAAAGCTAGTGTTCTCTCACTTTGAGCCATGGCATCACTTCCAGTTTTTTGGTGGTTAATTGGAGATAAGAGTCTTGCTGGGACTTTTCTACTCTGGCTGGCTTCAAACTGCAATTCTAAAATCTCAGCCTCCCCAGTAGCTAGAACTATAGATGTGAGCCACCAGCACCCACTTCAATCCTGTTTGCCTTTAGAATGAATCCAAACTCCTTACCTTAGCCCTGTGCCTCTGTGTGCCCAAGTTGTGCTCTCCCCATCATCCTTGGGTCTGACTAAGATCTCTTAGAGGCTTTGCACCAGCCTTCCCTGTTTGCAAGCACCTTTCTTCTGGTTTCATCACATATAACAATGACAGTGGTCCCAAAGTGGCCTCCTTCCTTGTCTCTGATGCGTGCTGAGTCTTTCTGGAGTTTGTGTGTATGCTATCCATTCTACCAGCAAATGCTAGTGAGGCTTTGCTGGGTGGCCTGTGTAGGATGTGTGAAAGAATAAAAGGGAAAATCATGTCACAAGGGTCTCAGGGGTCTGCCGTAGGGATGAGCTTGTGAAGATAGTCAGAGAATGGTTGAGGATTCAGGGCTGCTGTAGGTCTAGCAGGCTCCTGCTAGAGAGGACTCAGCTTGTGCAGGCTGGCGCCATGCTCCAGGGCTGGAGCACCATGGTCAGAAGGTAGAATGAGAGCAGTGAGAGGTTGAGAGCAGGGCATAGACTCATTTGAAGGGCACGACTAGGGTGACCAGGCTGTAGTGAAAAACGCCAGGCTTAGGTTGATAGCTGTGGTAGGTTTGGCGATCAGGATATAAGGAAGGGCTTTGGATGGTACGTGAATCCAGCTAAGCTGGAATTAGAGCCAAGATAGTAGTATGGAGCTAGGTAACATTGCCGGCTACTCAGGAGGCTGAGATCTGAGGATTGCGGTTCAAACCAGCCTGGGCAGAAAAATCTGAAACTCCTATCTCCAATTAACCACCAGAAAACTGAAAGTGGTGCTGAGGCTTAAAGTGGTAGAGTGCTAGCCTTGAGCAAAAAGATCTCAGGGACAGTGTGCAGGCCCCCAGTTCGAGCCCCACTACTGACCAAAAAATAAAAAATAAAGCAAGACATCGTATCAGAGTGACAGGGAACAGGTGAGCATTTTATAGGTGGCCAAAGATTTCCTAGAGGTAGGGAGCAATGGTTGGATGGCCATGGCACCCAGCTGATTAGGATGGCTGGTGTTTCAGGCAAACCTAAAGAAGTTCATGGACTATGTCCAGCTGCACAGTACGGACAAAGTGGCCCGCCTGCTGGACAAGGGGCTGGACCCTAATTTTCATGACCCTGATTCAGGAGGTGAGTTGCAGAACAGAGTGGGAGAGGTTACCGTTGAGTGGTTAGGAGCCTGACTTTCATTTCTTCCTCACCTCAGAGTGCCCTCTGAGCCTTGCGGCGCAGCTGGACAATGCCACTGACTTGCTGAAGGTTCTACGCAATGGTGGTGCTCACCTAGACTTCCGCACCCGGGATGGGCTAACTGCAGTCCACTGTGCCACCCGCCAGCGAAATGCGGGAGCGTTGACGGTCAGTGGGGTTCCTTCTGACCTGGAGGGGCATGGGTGCGGTAGAGGAGGAGCTGGCCTGGCATTGATGCTGAGGTGCCTTCTCTTAGACCCTGCTGGACCTGGGCGCTTCGCCTGACTACAAAGACAGCCGTGGCCTGACACCCTTGTACCACAGCGCCCTAGGGGGTGGGGATGCCCTCTGCTGTGAGCTTCTTCTCCATGACCATGCACAATTGGGGACCACTGATGAGAATGGTTGGCAGGAGATACACCAGGTGGGCTGGGTCCCTGGGGTGGGGTCCAGGCCCTGTCCAGGCAGGGGTTTTAGCCTCTGGGATATTGCAGCACCTCTGTCTTTTCTAGGCCTGCCGCTTTGGCCATGTGCAGCACCTGGAGCACCTGCTGTTCTATGGCGCCAACATGGGTGCCCAGAATGCCTCAGGGAACACAGCCCTGCATATCTGTGCTCTCTACAACCAGGTGTGTCCTTATGCTCCACATTTGAGTGTGCATACTTAGACACTGTGTGTGTGATGAAGTGTGAGCATGTGTATGTATGTTCCTTCACAAAAATGTTTGTTCTGGTTTACATACCCCTCCCCGTGTGTATTCTGTGACCTCCAGTGAGTTCTAGTTACTGGATTGCCTGCCTCTTTTTTTTTTTTTGGGTCCGGTCGTGGGGCCTGAACTCTGGGCCTGGGTGCTGTCCCTCAGCTCTTCAGCTCAAGGCTAGCGCTGTACCACTTGAGCCACAGTGCCACTTCCGGCTTTTTTCTTATGTGGTGCTGAGGAATCGAACCCAGGGCCTCAGGCATGCAGGGCAAGCGCTCTACCACTGAGCCACCTTCCCAGCCCTGGATTGCCTGCCTCTTGGGCCTGCTTGTGTATATTTATTCCCTGAACATACATATGTGAACATGTGTGTTCTGAACAAAATTGGGTATGAATTGTGTACATTTAAGCTCTCTGGAACAGGTGAGACCTACCCACATAGCCCTATGTGGTCTAGGTATACACTGAACATATAGGTATGAGTCTGCATGTAATTCCTCTGCTCTGCACACCTGTATGAGCAACCTCATGTGTGTACCTGCTCTGGCTTCCTAGCCATTCTCCATTTCCCAGTGTCACTGCCACTGTCTCCCAATAGGAAAGCTGTGCTCGTGTCCTGCTTTTCCGTGGAGCCAATAAGGATGTCCGCAATTACAACAGCCAGACAGCCTTCCAGGTACATGTTGGTTTATAGGAATATGAAGCTGCCTCTGGGGGTTGACTGTCTCCTTGTGATTCAGCCTTTCTGAATCTTCTTCCCAGGAAAGTTACAAGGCATTGCTCACTCCCAGGAAAGAATGGAGGCAGGGTGGGTCCAGTAGGATATTCAGTGAAGTGGTTTCTTTTATTCACCTTTCAGGGAGCTAGGAAGATCAGAGGGCTGCAGGATGGGGGAAGGGCAGATGAGAGGACAGGTGAGCAGGTGTAGGTGTGACCCCTGGAAGTAGAAGGGACCCAGAGGACCAATCCAGGAGGGGGGTTCCTGAAATGTGAAAGATACAGACTGGTGTGATAGTGCAGTAGAGAAGAGTCAGGCTGAGATGTAGGCATCAGGGCACATCTAAAAGTAACGCCAGGGCCAATCAGATGACTAGGTGTCACAGTTATAAGGAGGAAGAATGAGAGCAATAGGCTGGGCAGCCATGGGGGGCCCTGGTTGAGACAGGATAGAGGACTATATTTAGGGGCAGATTAAAAGTTCTAGTGCTGTGCCCCGTGTACTGAGGGCTGTTTGGTTTTAGCTCTGAAAGCCTAATATCTAGGAATAGATTGGGTTCTTGGCAGATGGGGGTGGTAGGTGACCCTAGTTACAAGTTGAGGTGTAGTACCATAACTCCTTTCTGTAGTGAGTTGTGTCCCAATAGACAGGAGTGCTTTGACTTGAGCAAAGCATGATCTGGTAAGGAGGAGTACTGTGGTGAGGCAAGCCTAGGCCATTGAGAATCCTTTCTTTTCTTTCTTTGCTTTTATTTTTTGTCGGTCATGGGGCTTGAACTCTGGGCCTGGGTGCTGACCTTGTGCTCTTCAGCTCAAGGCGAGCACTTTACCGCCTGAACCACAGCACTACTTCTGGTTTTCTAGTGGTTTATTGGAGATAAGAGTCTTACGGACTTTCCTGCCTGGGCTGGCTGTGAACCTCGATTCTCAGATCTCAGTCTCCTGAGTAGCTATGATGACAGGCGTGAGCCACCGATGCCTGGCTTCTTCGCTTTTTTTTGAGCATCCTTTCTTGTCCTCTGTGTCTTGGCCTCTTTCTCTCAGGTGGCCATCATTGCAGGGAACTTCGAGCTTGCAGAGGTCATCAAAACCCACAAAGACTCAGATGTTGGTGAGTTTTGCCCACCCATAAGTCCCTGATCAATGTAAGTTTTAGAGGCAGTGGTGATAGAACGAGGGCCTCTGCCCATGAGCCAAGGTGGCTCTTGTAGGGATGGGGAATATGCTGGGGAAGGGGTTGTATGGACTGGGCAGAGGCCTCAGTCAGGGCTGGGATAATGCGAGTCTAGGGGTTGATGTTGGGCTTAGAGCTGTGTTTACAGTTAATTAGGTTCTGGGAAGGGCCATCTATGGGACGTTTTCATTTTAGCCTAGAACATGAGAACATTTATGTAGCCATGGTTCTCCACAGGGTCTCATGAACATCCATGTAGAGAAAACAATATATTATAACAAAGATGAAGTCCAAGGTAGAAACAGAATTGCTGCTATCCTCTAGGTTTTGCGTTTCTGGTGGTCCATGTATAAATGAAGGCCTGGCATGTGCATAAGTTGTGGTCCTAAAAGGAAGACCAGGGCTTTGTAGCTTAGCCCCAATATGGATAAGAAGAAAGGCCCCAATTGTATTCCCTTATCTCTTGGATGTGTGGTGTCAGACTGGACCATTCTGTGTTCAGGTGACTGAGCAGCAGGGGCTGTGGATCTCTGCTCCAGGAAAAGATATTGTCTAGCTGGGCCACACTCTAGTCACTGGCTGCCTCCTTGTCCTCCTTGTTTCTAACTATCTCTTTCTGGAACATGGAATCTCAGATTCTCCTTCTTGCCATGAGTATTTACTTGGGCTGGTGTTAGAATCTCTCTTGGATCCAATGTAGGTTCCAGTCTGTGATGCTTTGCTTTCTTTTAAGTAAACTATGTACCATTATTTGTATCCCTTTCCACCTTGGCCTCCTTTGAGCTCAGGGGTTCCACCTTCCTCCCACCTCCTGGGACGTGTACTTTGTGTAGCTGATTGGGCCTGTGGTCGGAGTGCAAGGGGAGTAAAGGCAGTCTAGGGCTTGAATGCAGTCCAGACTGAGAGACAGGAACATTGCACTGCCCTATCCTCAGGCTCTGGAGCGTTACCATACTGAGACTCCTGTTCTGGGGCATTCTGGCGCAGTTGGTTAAGCATACTGTCCTTAGAACACTAGAATGGGCATCTGTGTCACCTAGTCCAGATATGGTCACCAGTTCTGCTGGCCACACACTCTTGCTCATATGTCATATACTCAACAACATCCATGTATGCAAGGTGCTGCAGTTGTGGGATTTACTGTGAATTTTCATACCTCAGTTCTTCCTCTCAACAACTGGCTCATTTTATAGAGAAGGAAACCAAGGTTCAGAGAAGTTAATGACAGGGCTTGACCCTAGACCTGGGGATTCAGGGTCTTGTTACCCTCTCTCCCCTGCTCCCCAGCACATATTTATTCTGAGACACTCTGAGTGACAGTCATGAATCTCCATGGTCCACCCAGGTCCTTGAGCAGGCCCTGCACATAGAAGCTTGAGGGGACTCTTCCAAGCCATTCTTTTCCAACTTCCTTTGTGTGGGGCTGATCACCCTTCAGAGGACAGGACACTTTCTATCTCAGTGGCTATTTCCTGTTGTAGACCAATAAGCCTTTGATAGGATGCTGGCCTGTCAAGTGAGTAACTCTGCTTGCTGCCTCTGTCACTAGGCCATGTTCTTTCTAACTCTCTCTCAGGCATGTTCCCATCTACATGGGTACCATTCATGCTTCTTATGCATATCCTTTTTTTTTGTCGGTTGTGGGGCCTGAACTCTGGGCCTGGGCACTGTCCCTCAGCTCTTCAGCTCAAGGCTAGCGCTCTACCACTCGAGCTACAGCACCACTTGTGGCTTTTTCTGCGTATGTGGTGCTGAGGAATCGAACCCAGGGCCTCATGAGTGCAAGGCAAGCACTCTTATCACTGAGCCACCTTCCCAGCCCCCCTTATGCATATTCATTACTCACTTGCTTTTGTTGAGTGTCATGGTGACATCACCCGAAGAGCTTGTGTAGATTCTGACCCAGAGCCTGGGTGGGGGCCTGAGCTGCACTAATCAGCATGAGGTGAGGTTGGAGGTAAGGCTAATGCTGCTGATTTGGGCACTACATTTTGTACAATAGGAGTCTGGATATGGCTTGGTAGATGGTGGCCACAGGCCAAATCCACACTATAGCCTTTTGTTTATTTATTTATTTGTAAGTCCTGGCTAGGGCCTGGCACTGTTCTTGAGCTCTTTAGCTCAAGGCTAGTAGTGCTCTACCACTTAGAGCCACAGCCCCACTTCCCATTTTCAGGTGGTTAATTGGAGATAAGAGCGGCACAGACTTTTTTCTGCCTAGGCTGGCTTTAAACCATGATCCTCAGATCTCAGCCTCCTGAGTAGCTAGGATTATAGGTGTGAGCCACCAGTGCCTGGCTAAGTTTTTGTTTTTTTTGAGGGTGTGAGTGTGTGTGTGTGTGTGTGTGTGTGTTTGTACACATGTATATATGTATATATACATATATACATATATTAGCTATGTTAATTGATCTAGTAGCATTTTTTTTTCTTCTCTACCACTTGAGCCAAAGCACCAATTCTGGTTTTCTAGTGGTTTTTATTGAAGATAAGAGTCTCATGGACTTTCCTGCCTGGGCTGGCTTTGAACCGTGATCCTCAGGTCTTAGCCTCCTGAGTAGCTAGGATTACAGGCGTGAGCCACCAGCGCCCAGCTTTCCAGTAGCATTTCTTACACTCACAGTGTAGTGTAGTTAATTTTATTGAATTCTCCCCTTTTCATTGCCCCAAAAGAAAAAATCTCACACATTAAGTAATTATTCTGCATACTCTCTCCCTTCTAGTTGTCTGCTGTGAACACACGTTTCTGTCTCTGTATTTACCGATTCTTGCTGTTTCATATAATTGGAATCATACAGTTTGTCCCTTTGTGTTTTTATTTTTGTTTGTTTGTTTTTTGGTCATGGGTCTTGAACTCTGGGCCTGGGCGCTGTCTCTCAGCTCTTCAGCTCAAGGCAAGTGCTCTACCACTTGAGTCACAGCACCACTTCCAGTTTTCTGGTGGTTAATTGGAGATAAGATTCATCATGGACGTTCCTTGCCCGAGTTAGCTTTGACGCGATCCTCAGATCTCAGCCTCCTGAGTAAGCTAGGGTTACAGGAATGAGCCACCATCACCCGGATGCTACATACTATAAAACTTTAGCATCTAGGTATTCTGCAGCTCGTGAATGAGGGTAGCCCCTTGCTGGGAGAGGCAAGAGGGGACACCTTTTTTTCTTACAAATGAGTTGAGGGGACACTTTTAAAATTTATTTTTATTTATTTTATTAATACATATTAGTTGTATGATGAGGGTTTTATTGTGACATTTTCACATATGTGTACAGTGTATCTCAATCTCACCCGTTCTGTCCCCCCCACACTTCTTAAAATCATTTAAACCTATTTTATTTTTCTTTTCTCATACATGCACACAAAATTCTTCCACTGTCCTCATCATCATTCACTTGTCTTTGTTAGCCTGACTAGCTCCTGCTGGGACTTGCTTCCCTAACACAGCTTGCTTTTTGATCCCCAAACCCTCAACCTGTTGGCTGACAGCTTTCATTGAGAGTCTTTTTATTATGAAAAAATTATTTTAAGTACTTATACAAAGGGGTTTCAGTTTATTTATTTATACATGTATTCGTGTATAGTTGCAATGTATTGCAAAAATGTTCACATTTGATCTTTTTCCTTTTAAGAGAGGAAATATCTATCCATCTCCTTACCTATCTCTGCATGCATGCTTGCCAGTAGGACTCGGGGCCTTGTGCTTTGTTTGCCTTTTTTGCTCAAGCCTGGCATTCTACCACTTGAGCTACAGGTTTTTCCTAGTTAATTGGTAATAAAAGTCTCTTAGACTTTTCTGCTTTGGCTGGCTTCAAAACACAGTCCTCAGATCTCAGCCTCATGAATAGACATGAGCCAAGGGCTCAGTTTTGTTTTGTTTTTTTTCTGGTCCTAGGGCTTGAACTCAGGGCCTGGGCACTGTTGCTCAGCCTCTTTGTGCTCAAGGCTAGTAGTGTTCAAGGGGAAACTTTTATGAAAGTATTTGAAGAAACAAAACAAGGAAAACAATGATTGGTTAGAAGTTAGTCGATGGCTTCTTATTGGTGCAGTTTCTAGTTTCAGTTTACTGCTTGCTTTGGCCTTTGGTTTCTTTTTGGGTGCTGTCCCTCAGCTCTTCAGCTATAGACTAGCGCTCTACCACTTGAGCCTCAGCACCACATAAGCAGAAAAAGCCGGAAGTGAACCCAGGGCCTCATGCATGCAAGGCAAGTACTCTACCACTGAGTCGTAAGTCCCGGCCTTTGGTTTCTACAGTAAGAATTTAGAAACTAATAATAAATAGCATCTCAATTAGATTTTTTTAAAAAACAACCCATTTCTTTTAGCCAGCCTCTCATTCATGTGAGATTGACCAAAACCTGGAAATTAAGTGCCACCATGGTAGCCGATTTTCTTTCTGTCAGAAGTAGAATTCATAAGTCCTGGCCCGGTGCTGGTGGCTCACGCCTGTAATCCTAGCTACTCAGGAGGCTGAGATCTGAGGATCGCGGTTCAAAGCCAGCCTGGGCAGGAGAGACCGTGAGACTCCTATCTCCAATAAACCACCAGAAAACCGGAAGTGGTACTGTAGCTCAAGTGGTAGAGTACTCGCCTTGAGCTGAAGAGCTGAGGGACAACGCCCAGGCGCAGAGTTCAAGCCCCACGACCGACAAAAAAAAAAAAAAAAAAAAAAAAGAATTCATAAGTCCTGGTGTCAGGCCTGTTGAAGAAAGATACTTTTGTTCAGATCACCTTTGCTATACTAATCATGCAAAACCATGGATGGCTGTAGACGCACATAAAGACATTGAGAGACAGTGGTGCACTAGAGACATGGGAAGGTTGACTGGCAGGATAATACCAACAGCCCAAAGTACATTTCTCAGCCTTGGTCTCCACCAGCCAACCCAGCTAATAAATCTGTGGAATAAAACAAAAGCAGAAATCAGTGATTAAAACAAACT